TTCCATTCCACAGGTACACATGCACACAACAGCAGGCAAGCAACAATAAACAAAAGTAACATATGGGTCTCTCAGGTTTTGGATTTACCTATAACCGTGTCGTTCCATGAGAACCTTTAAGTGATTTGCTTCTGGCACTACCATTAGCAATCCCACAATACAGACTGTTGAGAAAAATGTTGCTGAACATTAGATACATGCAGAAAATATTCAAAAAGGTTAAGGTAGCTCTAAAATACTCATACACAGAAGAAGAAGAAGATATTCGATTTATACCCCACCCTTCACTACCCAAAGGTGTCTCAGAGCGGCTTATTAGGGCTCTTTTTGTAGCAGGAACTCCTTTGCATATTAGGTGACACATATTAGGTGTAGCCAATCCTCCAAGAGCTTACAGTAGCCCCTGTAAGAAGACCTCTGTAAGCTCTTGGAGGATTGGTTACATTAGGGGTGTGTTGCCTAATATGCAAAGGAGTTCCTGCTACAAAAAGAGCCCCACAACAGACACCCTGTGAGGTAGATGAGGCTGAGAGAGCTCTTGACAGAAAGTGCTCTTTTTCAAGAACAACTCTTATCAGAACTACGGCTTGCCCAAAGTCATCCAGCCAGGTGCAAGTGGAGGAGTGAGGAATCAAACCCGGTTCTCCCAGATTAGAATCCGCGCACTTACACAATACACCAAACATGTGAGTCATAGTCACAGTGCATGGATTATGTTAGCTATAAAAAATTTTTCTACTGCTCAGTGATATTCTAGTGGAAAGAAAGATATACAACCTAACATGGCAAAGACACAAACAAATAAAAAAAATAAGGACTCCTGATATGCCAAGGGAAGCAACATTGGATTCTACAAGAGGTAATAACAGTCCATTTTCTTGATGTTGGGATTTACTAAATATTGAGGAAACTGAGATCAGAAGTTGGCATGACATGTGTTAAATGTGTTTCTCAAAAATACAAAAGTGAATATAACCTTCCCATCCTTACCCTTCCTGTATCACACAGTTGCCATTTGTTTACAACTAAAAATAGGAGCCAGGCTATGAGGTATGAACCTGTAATGAAAAGAAACTTGCTCTGATATAGATCCTTGTGTGTGCTAAACTTCCTGTTCTCTTCTGCAAGATGGAAATGATTAGTAAGTTTATAAGAATTGAATACTCGGTGAATCAAATATTCTCCCATAATGAAACAGAATGGGTAATCTCTGAGCACTAACATGGCAGTGTAGATTCTGGTGTCCCACTGGTGGCCACCATCTTGATCTTCTGGGATCATTCTATTCCTGTTTGTTGCATTTGATACCATTGACCATGGTATCCTTCTAGAGTGGCAAGTTGAGTTGGGAGCGGGGGGGTACTTTGTTTCTTTATTTCCTTTCTTACTTGACTGGCTGATACCAGAAGGTGATGTTGGGGACTGCTGCTTGGCTCCATGACATTTGTGTTAAAGGGTCCTGCAGGATTCCATTTTGTCTTCCATACTGTTTAACATCTACAGGAAACTGCTGGGAGAGATCATCAAGGGATTTGGAGTGAGGTGCCACCAATATGTGGATCATACTCAGGTGGTCCACTTCTCCTTAACATCTAAGTCAGGTGGGTCTATGGAAATCCTGAACAAATGCCTGGAAATGGTAATGGGATGGATGAGGGCCAGTAAACTTAAGCTCAGTCCAGACAAGACTGAGGAGCTGCTGGTCAATGACACAGATTCTTCAGGAAGGAGGAGTCAGCTTGTCCTTGAAGGAGTTCCACTCCCCCTGAAGGAACATGTTCATAGCTCGGGGATAATGCTGGATCCTGGCCTACAGTTGGAGGTCCAGATCTCCTCTGTGGCACAAAGTGCCTTTTATCAGCTTTGGCTAATATGCCAGCTACTGTCATTCCTCAAAAAACGTAACCTGTCCTAGGTGATCCATGCTTTGATTACATCCAGGTTAGATTACTGACATGTGCTTTACATTGGGCTTCTCTGTTAATGTCTGGAGTGGTGAGGCATTAGAAATGCTAATTCAATGAATCCAATGTCCACAAACCAAGCTCATACAACTTGTGCTGATACCTACTAGTCCAAAATGACAGACAGATTAGCAGAGCCAGTACAAATAGCACAGTGCAAGCGATGGGCTGTTCAAGACTCTTATATATGCAAGTTTATGATTCTTGCTCTCGTCTTTTTTTGGGGGGGGGCATGTCCAGTTTATTGCTCAGTTGCTGAGGCCCAAACCAGATGTTATATACAGGTGCATGTAAGTGTTCTGATTTGTTAAAAAGGAGAAAGAGCCAAGGGGAGACAGCCAGTTTGAGAGGAAGAACAGTGGGAAGTGTTTACTTAATCTTTTCCCTCTCTGTATGTCTATTCAGAATCAATCCCAGGCTGTTTATCTGACCACAAGGAAAAAGATATAGGAAACCCATACTTTTCCTGTTTGGGTGGGAAAAGCAGGTTGTATGGCAGTGATTCTGAGAAGAATAATGGCTAGACAAAAAACGGCTTATAAGCAGACCAGCTCTGTCTTCTCCCTGCCATTCCTCTGGTGAAACTGGCACAAGACTGTTACACACATCTGCCACATGACAACTTGTTTGGCCTTTTTTACAAACAGATGGCTACGCTCCAGCTTTGCAGATGTAGGCTAGTGGGTTCACAAACCAAAAGAAATGTTTGTGAACTTCCCCACAGTTAGTGAGCAGTAATTATGCATGTCACACAGCTCCCAAAGACCCAGGAGGTTTTCTTTATGTCCCAATATATGTATTGTCTTCAACGCATCACTTCTGTTCCCACCAGTAATTCAAACACTAAACATACCCCTATCATGGCAATATAGGAGAACAATTAAGGAGCTCTAGGCAGACATTACTGGGTCGGTGTGATTGTAAAACTGTTTTCTGATTGCAAAATTTGGCATTTACCTGAAGAAATGCAGAAACCTGTACATAATTAAGTAGCCTAATAATTAGGATTGTGGTGCTTGATCTGAGGCTCTTTCTTTAATTTTTAAGTCATACTAAATGCTACTGTCATACAAACTCCTTTCTCCCAACAGGACTGGGTGTTCTGCAGCAGTAATCAAATATATTCTTCCCTTTTTGATAGTATATGCAACTATATGAACCAGCTTTTGACATGAGTAATCTCCATTTTTAAAAGGATTAAATTTCATTTTAGGGAATCAGTAAAGCTTGCAAGCTTCATTTTAGGGAATCAGTAAAGCAATGGGTTACTTGACTTTATGCACTCCTGCCTGTCAAACACAGCAAGGAGCCTAGCATATCTTTTTTTCTGACCAGGCATTTCTACAAATGATTCTGTGTTCAGTCCATCTGCCTACCGACCTCCTGGACTAACTGAGCTTGTACCTAGGAAGAAGGGCCCAGCTTTTCTACATAACGTTTGCTCAGCTCTAATTTTTTCTCATAGCCCTGCCTACTGTAGTCTTGTAAGACTAGGGTTGCCACCCTCTAGGTAGCACCTGGAGATCTCCTGCTATTACAACTGCTCTCCAGATGACAGAGATCAGTTCAGCTGGAGAAAATGGTTGCTTTGGAGAGTGGACTCTATGGCATTATACCCTACTCTACCCAAGCTCAACTCCAACAATCTCCATGTATTTCTCAACTCAGAGCTGGCAACCCTAAGTAAAACAGTGATTAGTTCATGGATACCTTTACGCCCAGTGTGGATTTTTTTTTCTTTTTCTTTTTTCAGGACTAACGCCTGGGACATAGCTTCTTAGCAAAGTGTGCTACAATGGTATAAAGGTTCATCTTCCTTTGTTCTCTGGATAACATATGCTTTGGGGTAATAGTAACTAACTACTGCTTCTAAACCCTGGATATGATTTATAAATGTACGTTTATTGTTATAACTCTGTAACTCAAACAAGTACATCCTTAGACTTTGAGGCAGAGAATTTTTTAGAGATCTTTTTTCCCCTTATATGTTTAGAATACTGAACAGGTGGATTCCCCAACAATAAACTTACTTGTATCCATTGCACTGATGTTTCAATGGATTTAAACCCTTGGTAATGTCTACATTCTTCAATGCTATGTTATGCTGCAGGTGACTGGTATGCCAAAGACAATAGGGAACCCTTAGTGTAAAAGTATAGCCACAAACAACACCCACCAAGGGAAAGACCATTTACAATTCACAACTATGTTCAAAACTATATATTACATTCATTGAAATACAAAGAATGGTTAGTGGTCACAGCCCAATAGAGTGCATGGACATTGATCTAACAGATTGCTCAGAACAATTAAACATAGTTTACAACAAGAAGCTTTTGAGCTGTGATTATGTTATTTTGGAAATTGAGTTCCGTTTTACCAGCCACTGTTGAAGATCATTGAAATGACTTGATTTATACCTAGGAGAGGCATCCGGCTGTGATTTCTTCCACAGTGGGAGGCTTCTGCTGCAGTTACTTTCTGTTCGGAGTTCTATGGACACTATCTATATATGGAATTACAGAAGAGCCTACTGTTGGTTTTGAAAAATGTTCTTTTTGTAAATTATGTTTAATTGTTCTGAGCAATCTGTTAGATCAATGTCCATGCACTCTATTGGGCTGTGACCACTATCCCTTCTTTGTATTTCAATGCATGTAATATATAGTTTTGAACATAGTTGTGAATTGTAGATGGTCTTCCCTTGGTCGGTGTTGTTTGCAGGTGATTGGTAAGCAAATATTTTGGGCTGATAGGGGAATCAGAGGTACTCTAACAAGACTAGGAATGCTGGGGTGGTAGAAACTCATTATTACCTTTTTGTGATTTAAGAATACACACACACACACACACACACAGTAACCAAAGAATCATCAGAACACTCTGAGAGCCCTTTAGGTTCACACTGAAGGTGCCAAAACTGATGCCTCTGGGGAGACTGCAAACAGGACAATAAAGCAACAGTTGAGGGCACAAGGCAAACTAGCTACAGATGCAAGATTGAGAGACCACAATGGACCACAATGCTAATCTTACCTTATATGCAGCTTGCCTCATAAACTGTTTTGCAGGCTGCTTCCAGATAGCTGGCACAGTGATGACCCATCGTATGTCAGAATTTTCAAACCCTGAACCTTCCTGATCACTCAGCTCCTGGAATAAATGAAAGTAACATAGTAGTGAAATATAAAATTGACACCAGGTGTTTAAACAAAAATTGTGGCTTTTTTGCTGGCTCCAGTGAAAGTAGGTTGCACTCTTCATGTTTCTAATGTTATGTCTATGTCAAACTCCTTAAATCATTGACTGACATTAAATATGCGTACAATGTCAAAGACTGGATTTCTGTTACACCTTATCACAGAAAAATGTAGAGTTATGAAGGGTAAGTTTCTTTCCAACAAGGAACCCAGAATGTGGCAAACACATCAGTCTACTTTATGTGTGTCTTCACAGTGGAGGTTGAAGCTTCTCTGAATTCATTCTCCTAAACATTAATCAGGCTGGAAAAAAATTGCTGTATTACTAACAAACATCACATTTGCCACATTATATTTATTTTAAATGGCCAGTACATATTATATTACCATCATTAAATTACGCTTTTTTTGTTTCAAAACTGAGTTAATGGTTTCTCTACAGAAAACTCTGAAAAGATTTGAGTTTGAACTTAGTTCAGAAATGTATACTTTAAGCAAATAATGAACAGTAGATAGATGTTAAGAACTTCCATTCAGTTTGTGGAGGCCATGGTATCATGATTTAGGAATGATTCCAAGTGTAATGACCTTGCATATCTTTCTCTGTTGTCCAAACAAGAAAAGAATCCAAAAGGGTGAACAATATTCTCTTTTGGAATGTAAATAATCTTCGAAATGTAATAAGCCAGTAGGGGCATGATTACCATAATACAGGCCACATTCAGACATCAAAACATACCCCTGTTCATGCCAGGCATGAATACAACTTTTTAAATTTAGAACATTTACATGCTGACTCTCCAGAGACCTGCCTGAAGCACACTTGAAATGTGTGTGTGCTCCCTCCTTCCTCTCCCTTTCCCCCATGCATGGAACACAGGTAGGGATGGGCACAAACCAGCTCACAAACTAAAGTTCATGATGAATCTTGGCTGGTTCATGGTTTGTTGTTCATGGCAGGTCAACTGGCACAACTTTCCATGAATTTCAAGCATCTGTGGTGGTTTGTGAATGGATACATTTCCAAGACAGACTGTCTGCACTCAAGATGTTTACCAAATTTCAAAGCAATATGCCCTCAACTTGGAGAGATTGTAGAGAAGCAGGCAGCAGATGAGGTTTCCTGTGAATCTGGTGAGGTTTGCTACCCTCCCCAACAGCAAGATAAAAAAGCCTACTCTAACTAGCTAAACAATAAAGGGTGGGAATAACATAATCCTCATCCAGCTATTTAACTAACCAATCCTAATAATAAACTCCAAGACAGGACATCTTTTTACAGTGTTGGCAATACTATTGGAAACATTCAGTCAAACTATAATTTGGGGTGATATCCAAACTGGAGTTTATGTCCTCATAGACTAGGATTCTGAACCACAGTTTAATCCTAGTTTAGAATCCCAGTTTGTGGGGAAGAAGCCAGTTTGCTCAGACACTTGAGTCTGGGCCTCAGAACAAAGGAAGAAGCTTTCAAAAAGTCCACACATAGGGGAAGGCAGAAGGGCACATGTGAGCATGGCAAAGAAGCCATGTTTATGCCTATTGCAAAGATTTTCATAGCTGCTGAATGTGGCCATAGTTTAAAATCTCTGGCAGAAATGCAATAGTTTCTTATTCAAAGAAAGCAATGTCTAATTTGACTTCTGATTTTTGAAGCAATTTAGTGTACATAGAAGGTAATTCTCCTTTTCCCATTTATCTTATACTCCAACACACTGTGTCAGTTTCTTTGGTTTAGTGCCTGTTGAAGATGTGCCACAGTATATATTTGTCACTGTTCTCTAATTCCTTTCACTGTACACCTTTGCCTCCAGCCTTTCCAGAATAAAAAAGCTGGAGCTGTATGCAGAGTCAATCATAAAATCACTCCTTCTCCAAAGAGTACTTTGAAAATGTAGGGATTATGAATAGAAATAAGGAGCTGAATTAATATACACAGTAAACGCCATATGGCTCAGACCACCCATCTACTCTCATTGGCTCTACCAATGTCTTAAAGAAAATTCCTTGCAACCTGAGATCCTTTACAAGGGGACACAGTGGTTTAGATTTGCTTGGAGCGCTCATTGCAGCATTATTTAGCTCCACTTCACTTGTAAGCTGAAAAAGACATTCAGAGCCCTTCTTTTTTAAGCTATACATAGCACAGTAACTGAAAATCAGTCTTTTGAAACAAGATGAGGGAGCCAATGTACACTAGTATTGTACATCTGTTTTATTCACAGCCAGCCTTTGACACTGAGACTCAAGGCGGATTACAGAATAAAAAAACAGTGCAATCATATTAGATATGGTTTTGTTCTGTATTTTATACAAACCCCAGGAAGGATATGTTGGACCCATTTCTAGACAGATCTGCCAACAGAGCCATGTGTTATATCTGAGTTTCTGCTGAATGGGAAGCAACAAACAAGATTTGCTCAGTGAATTATAATGTTGTCAAAGTGAATAATGTATGTTGCTATGGCAACCATTTTAAGAAATCTGGATCATGTCTTCTAATTTGGGTATGCTTTATTAGGGATAATTGTCCTTATTCATATATGTTTGCACTTGTATGCTGGGCTGGTAAGTTTGGAGTAAAACAATATAATTGAATTCTCTGAACGGAAAATGATAGGAACCGAACCTATCATTTCTATATGCAAACCAAGTGCTCTTCTACTAAGTTAGAGCCTGCACTGGCTGGTGTCACTTTTAAGGAGTGTTCTGGAATTCTTCTACTCTGAATTCTTTGGGTTTTATTTCCCAAGGGACACATTAGAAATTCTCCACCATTCTGTCCTCCCCCCAAAAAAATTTGGTACACAATGGCCGAGTTCAGACTGGCAGTTTGCCCCGATATAGGCACATTTCAGAAATGTTCCACAACCGGATTAAAGGGTCCGTTCACACAGGCACATCTGTCAGGCGTTCCCCACCCATACTCAGCCCGTCTTATAACGCTTCACACCCAAGTTGAAAAGATACCTGGTGAAAGTGGTAGCAAACCCTGGAAAATGTGATTATACCGTGTCCATCCCACACCAACAAAGTGTGAACGCCAAAAGCTGCATTTTTCTTATGCATTTATGCGCTCATGCACATAAGCGCATATCTCCAGATTGCCAAAAAGAAAGCCGCGCCTAATAGCCGTGCCTCTGGGCCAACAGTGTGAACGCTCCCTTGCGCCTCCTCCCAGTATGCTCCCGTATCAGTCAGTGCAGTGTGAACAGGAAAACCCGAAACAGTTTTTTCCGGCTCTTTTTTGCCACGACTCCCTCCTGCTTCAAACTGTCAGTCTGAACTCGGCCAATGAAAGTGCATGTGCAGTATGCCGCAGCTTCCAGGAACTGCTGTTTGGTTGCATCCTTTCCTGCCTTGATGTGTATTGACAAAACATTGAAAAAAGGAACTAAAGTGACATTTTTGGTACAGTGCTTTACCAATTGTGTAGGAGCACATTTGTATATCACAAGCAGTTGCAATCCTAAACAGAGTTATACCTGTCTAATGGTTTTAGAAGCTGTAACAAACTGCACATATTCTAAATCCTGACATACTTTTAGAAATTCTGTTTGTTAAGATGGAATTCAGCAGG